TTAAACCTAATTGGTCTTGATGAGAGCCTGGGTCAGCGGCACCCTTCTTGGGATGTTTTCACAATGCAAACAATGGAGAAAATCTGGAAAATTGGGATCAGTGGTGGTTGCTATGTTTTGCTAGGGGAGCCGACACCCACTTTGTCTTCAGGTTTAGGCCACACCGCCTTAATTTTATGGATGACATCCTCTGAAGTCCCCCAAACTAGTGCGCGCGGGCGAATAAAAGAAAAATCCGGCCAAAAATAAAAATGCTACTAAATCACAGGAATACAAAGCTGGTGTTGTGAATTTACTGCAGTACATACCAACATATACAACAAGCCGGCACATACTGGCTTTTGCCGAAGTTATAAGTCGGCAGTCTCGGCACTGTTCGTATGTACTGAGTTCTTGAGTCGTGGAGCTTAGGTAGCCTGGGTGCCCGGCTCCGTATTGTTGCTAACTACCATGGACTACCCAGACCAGAGCCTCGGTGGACATGATCTTTTTTATAAACATTTCACAAAGACACTTTTAGAACAATAAATGCTAAATTCTGTACCTACACGGAGCCTACAGCTATACATACTAAAATTTCCTCTTCACATTCGAAAAATCCCTTCTATACATTCTAAAAATCTCCCCCCATACATTCTAAAAATCACCGCCATACACTCTAAATTTGAGCTCCGTACATTCTAAAAATCACCTCTATGCACCTCTGTTAACTTTTAAGTTTTCGTTTGAGAAATTCTTGTAATGTGTAACATTTAAGGAAACTGTGTAATATTATGTGTCTGTGAATTGTATCACAATGTTATGTGTTTAATGTTTCCCTGCATGTACGGTCATAATTCATGTACACTTTGCACAGCGGACATTCAACATTCGACATTAAACACATGGAGAGAATTTGTGGTCCGTTGTCTGTATGTTGAAAAAGCTGCCTGCTAAAAGTCAAACTAGGCGTGTCATTTCAACACGTTATCTATAGTAAACTTGGTCAAGCGAAGATCCCACCAATACGGGGACGCCTAAGCTTAATATCCTGTGGCTTTCTGTTGTTCTGTTGTGACAAACTTATCAGATAAGACCCTAAGTATGTATAATACGCTTAGCTATTGTAGTGCGCAAAGGAGTGCCGTTTCTATAGGTTATTTGTTTGGTCATGTGGAACAGGCCACAACGTCTTGATTTTATGGATGCCATCCTCTGACGACCACCAAACTAGTGTGCGCGGGCGAATAAAAAAATTCCGGCCAAAAATAAAAATGCTGCTAAACCACAGGAATACAAAGCTGGTATTGTGAATTTGCGGCAGTACATAGCGACGTATACAACAAGCCGTGGACTGACTACCCAGGCCTAGAGCCTCCGAGGACGTGATCTTTTTTTTTTTGAGAACAGGCGAAAATCAATGCGCGCGCGGATGTCATCCATAAAATTAATTTGGTGTGGCCTTACTTTAAACCATACTCAGCAAGCAGATGTTGATAGGGAAGATCGTTAGCTTTTTATATATGGTCCGTTTTTTTTGTTGCTACCCCCACCATCGGTAGCGACAAAAAAAACGCAACGATCTTCCCCCATCAACTTTGCTTGAAGAGTACTTAAACATACGTATACAGAACTCGACTTTGGTTTACTTTAATTGATTGATTGATGTCTGACTGACGAAAATTACAATACACACGGTGGAAATGCCACGCGAACACACCCGCCGACGTTAACCGTGAAACAGTCCGACTAAGGCCTCGTTCATGATTGAAATGTGTTCCGGTTTGGCCACGATCCGAATCGAAACGGAATATATTTTTGCGTCCGTGATTCCAAACTTGCACCCACACTGGAAACGGTTTCACACCTCGAATTGACTTGCATTTCATATGTATATCACAATTTCTTTGAATATTTCCTGGGAACCCGGCTCGTAAGGCGGAGAGTTAACGCCTGTTTCGGGCGAGTGTTCGCTCGTTCCCGACCCATGTCCTCCCCATAGGCTGTGCCCCGGACGCATCTGGCGCAAACCCCCACGGCCCGCCGCCCCAACGCCCCCGTTGGGCTACCACTCGCCCTCACGCCCAGGGTAGGTTCTAGTGCACACCATCCAGTTTCCTGGATCTCCTGATTTCCCCAAGTCAATATCGGAAGTCCCGTTTTCTCAGTCGAGCAGTAATTAGAACTCGATGTCAAGATTGTACGATTCAAGTAGAATTTTCCGCAGTACAAGCCACTGCGCCGCAAACTATGGACGACCGTGGCCCCCTCGTACCCGGGAGTACAGCGTCGAACCGGAACGATTCGCATCCGCGCGTTCATGATCACAATTCTACGAACGCGAATCGTTATGAATCGTTTCAGACCACCTCGCGATGTGGTTCAGAATAAATCGCAACGGAACCGGTTTGGAGCGTTAATGTTCCCAAATGAATCGATTTATTTTTTTTAAATTACGAATTGATTCGCAACAGATATCCAATCATGAACGGGGCCTAAGAGATGCCGCTTAGGGGGGGGTGGGAGTATGAGATCTCAGAACTCTTGTTATTGTCTTGCAGCAAGAAATTATGTAGTGTAGGCTTGTTAAGCGAAAACCTCTTTTTTTTCTTTTGCCCACTGGAACAACGGGATTACAACAGAGGTTATGTCGGTGTTTG